CCACCCCCCGGTTTTTTTTTCGGGGCTGCAAAAAACCCCCCCACCCCCCCCCCTTTTTTTTTTTTTTTTTCTTTTTTTTAGATGTTCTCCCCCCTCCAATGCTGGTGGTAGAAAAACAATTCGAAGGATTTTGACAGCGTGCATGGTCTCCCTCTGCAGCCTCCTTGGAGCCATTTCTTTTGATTTGAGCAACAGCTTGGAAATATGGAGAAACACAGGGAAAGCCCTTCAGGAACTTGCCTCCTGTGAAAACCTTTGGGCTGTTCGCTTCATCCGTCTCCTGCAGGAAGAAAGGCACAGCTGGCTGCTCCCAGCAGCAGACAAGAGGAAGAGATCATTTCATGCTCATCTACTGGGGAATTTAAACTCCCTCTGCAAGGCAAGTGAAGCAGAATTGCATTGTGAGAATTGCCAATGCGAGAAGGAGAAAATCTCCATTTGTAGATTTTACATCATTGACATGAGAGAAAAATTAAATAGCACAGGGGCTACTGAAGCCAGCCAGGTGCTATCCAGAGTGATCTCTGAACTGCTGGAGCATTTTAGTAATCCCCATGAAGGCCTCAAAGCTATGAGATACAATCCTGACTGGGCAGACATAGTAGCTTTTAAACTCGTCCTTCAAATAAGAGAAGTCATGCTTAAAGCTCATTTAATGCCAGCACCTACAAGCTTTCAAACAACACTGCATCAATTTTTTGCCATTCTGAACTATGCTATCTTCTCATCAGAGGGTGTACGTAAGTGCTGGATGGATAATGTTAATCTATCACTTCATTTCACCCACTATGAAGGAATCTTTTTCTTCATCCCATTCCTGGGCTCAGATGAATTTGTGTCCATTGAAGCCTTGATAAAGGAACTGCATTATGTACAGAGCTGCCTACTGCAGAAGGGACAGGAAAAGCTCATCAAGAAATCTAAAGAAATCCTGTCCACAATGAGCCTTAAGATAGGTCTGTTAGCGATAGCCTGCCTCATTTACCCCATAATCCTGATGTCCTTCAAGCAAATGACAGATTGGATACACAATTACGCCAGGAACCTCAAGGAAAAGACAGAGGACTTGAAAAGGGAGAGGCGGCTAGCTGAGGACCTCTTACACCAGATGTTGCCAAAATCTGTGGCCAAGCAGCTAAGGAAATGCCAAAAAGTTGAGGCAGAAAACTACGATCAGGTTAGCAAATAGAAAGGATGCTGTCACCAAGGATAGAAAAGTATTCACCTAAAAAAGCACCTACCTTGCTGCCATTTTGAGGAACCTGGTTTTGCACCCATAGCTGAGTGTGGATGGAAATTCAAATATTCACGATCAGTTTTGGGAAGAGCTGTGCAATGTGCCATGAAGCACATAGGCTGACGGGGAAAGAAGAAGAGCTGAAATTTCCACAAGTGTAGCTTTAGATGTCAAAGATCCTATATTGGCAAGTTGTCTTCTTTGGGTTTGAGAGCATACCCATGAGAGCCAGCCAGCGTCATTAGATCACGAGTACATAAGAGCAAGAACTGAGTTTCCTCCTTGTAAAATGGGAAGAATCATGAAAAAAAATCAACGCAGGACAAATCCTGTCTGTACTTGTCAGTATGATTCCATAAACATAACTGAAAGGAGAGCATGGGACTTAGAGAAGGATGAGAGGGACGGATGATCTCGTAGCCTGAAGTGTGTAACTGTAACGAAGCCTGTTGACATAAAAACAAGGCAGAGTTTGGCCAGGCACCCATTTATTTGCAGCTCTGCCTCACAGCATGCATGCTGCTGTCAATGCTGAATTTAGCAGCTGTGCTGCATAGCCCACAGCCAAAATCCTCATGCTAAAGTAATTGCAATTCTATTCACTCTTTTTCCCCTGGATGCTCTGTTACTTTCAGCTGTGAAACACAATAATAAATATTTGCATTTAATTTGTAGGTGTCATTATCGAAACAGCAACCTGTAATTGCACAATTAATTATAATTCACAATAGTTGTGACATCAAAAGTAGCTGAACCAAGGCAGGGAGTGAAAAGGCTCTTCTGGATTAATTGGTATTACCAAGGACGAATAAAAGAAGAATTTTAGTTTAAACACTGACAAAGTTCAGGCAGCACAGAGAAGAAACACTTAATTCTTTGTCAACAGCTATAACACACATTTCCCTTCCTCAATTCAGTTATTATGGTTTCTGTTGTTCCTTCTTATATAAATTTGATTTTTTTTATAAGTGAATTTCTCTGTAAATTACATGATTGTAACAAAGATAAACATTTGAAGAGAAACAAAATCCAGTTAATATTTCCTAATTCAACAAGAGCAGAGACAGCAGTTGAGTTTTTATTTTGCAGTTTGTTCAGATACCTAGTTTTGATCTCTACCACAGTTTAAATCGCTTTAAAAGAAAAATCAGGCCCTACTTCTATAAGAAGTCTGTTGATCACCGCTCGCAATATTCAAAGCATTTCACTTTCAGCCTCCCATCTAGCACAAGGTATTCAGAGAAGCACAGATGATAAACTTTGGAGGTAAACGTAATTTTATCTGTCAAAGTAACAGAGAGCAATTCAGAGCCAGAGCTTGTTAATTTAGGATTGTACCTATTCAGTTCCGCAACACCGGATCTACGTGCAGCCTGTGCCTTAGGCTGTTCTGCTCAGAATTTCAGAAATCCCCAACGTTTTCAAAGGCTCTGCCACTGTTGCCTGGAGACCTTAGCTTCACACTTTCCTTCTCCCTGTGACAGGTGACTATCTTTTTCTCGGACATTGTGGGGTTCACAAGCATTGCTGCCTCCTGTACTCCCCTGCAAGTTGTTGAGATGCTCAACAATCTGTATG